TTACTGCGTACGTGCGTACGTGCGTACTTACGTGATGGGACTAACTAGGATTAAAAAAGGAGGTAGATTAATTGTCACGTATCATATTACATAAAACACTTGTATAAAATTGAATTGTCAATGGTCACGGTACGTGGCAATTAAACAATTCTTTTTTTTTTAATCCATCACAACCGTCATAATGTACTTTTAAAAAAAGGGCTTATGGTAGTGTTTCATAGCGACCAAAAAAAAGGCAAACTTGGTACGTAAAAAATTAGTATAGTAAATTTTTAATTCCCTATATTAGACAAAAAGAATCAATTAAAAGCACATAACGATAAGTTGTTTTTAAGATTACAATTATCACAATCTCGAATAATTGAATGTAATCACTGTGTTCATTATTTTTGCACACTTGTGACAATATCGCAGTATGCCGTGAAAGACAGCCCAATTTTTTTTTATTTATAATTATATAATTAGATTTTTTAAAAGATTATCTATTTTAGGCACGTAAGAGAAAGAAAAAAAGAAGAAAACTGGTTTTATTGACACGAGAAAAAAGGAATTATTCTTTGTTCAAAGATGGGTATGAAGAAAGATTCTTGAATGCATTGAATCTTATTTGAATATTCAGAATATTGTCAGAATATTGTCAGAATATTGTCAGAATATTATTAGAGTATTAAAGAAGTTTTTTTATTTTTGGATAAAGAATCCAAATTGAGATAATACAAATACTACGGATCTTTGTATCTATTACGTAGATCGTTAATCTGCGTCATACTCAAAGACGGGAATTGGACTTGAAGTAATTTTGTGGGGAACTAATTAGTAATCAGTAATCAAAAGATAAAAAGCAATTTGGTTATGATGACGCTATACTCTTTTGCGCCACTGAGGAAAAAATTTAATAACCATCAGAAAAAAGTGATATACATATGCATACATGATACAGACTTGTGGTCCGATTTTTAAAGAATCTGATAGGACACGCGATTTTATGTAAGGGGGTTATCAGCAGTTTATCATGTTCGCTGGATTTTTGCGGCGGTAATTTTGTTCAACTTCTTTGTTGCGAACTTTGGGGTGCCGAGGGAAAATTCGGGGAAATCCAGAAATTAACTTGTTATTTTGATACGGTGTCTTCGAGAAACCGAATGTGGCTCAGTTAATTATCAAAAAAAAAAAAAAAACAATTATTAATCAAGTTACAATTATCTCAATTATCTCAATTATCTCCTAGATCAGACAAACGGAATGGGCTAGATTATTGATATTTTTAGAAGGTATGTGAACTACGGATTTCTAATGAGTGTGGTGCTACCGTATAAACACCTCCTTGACGCGCCAAAGATAGATAAGTGACCTTCTGAACCATTCCGACAAATAATCGTTTAGATGAGACGTTAAAACATCAGTTGAAAATATTAATAACAACTGATTTGTCTTTCATATATGCATTAATAGTAATACTGTATTATTGTATTTATTGTATTATTGTATTATTGTATTATTGTATTATTGTATGCGTTGTTGAAGAGAATTGATTGTTTAATTCGGAGAGAAAATGTTTCCAGTCAATAGTAATTCAATAATTTTCCGTAATTTCAATAATTTTCCATATAATTTTCAATAATTCTTGGGAGATATTATTATAAATTTAATTCCAGAAAGGAATTCTTATAGGGCCAAGAATAGGATATTCTTTAACATATTTTAATTTTTGATGATCAATCGCATTTTGTGCGATCTCGTACACCATCAGACATTATCAGTGAAATTTTACTTGTTCTTCTTCCCTCAAATATACTAGATCATATAGTTACTTAAAAAATCACAAAATTATGCACATGACAATTAATAAAGTCGGTCAATTCATTAACTGTTAATATCATTAATATTCACTTTGTATCTTAAGTTAATTAAAACGACTAGAATTACTTACAATCAATTGAGTAACTAGGAATAACCCCTGTAATTGGTTGTTGGGACGGGGAAAAACTAATTATTGGGACGGGAAAACTAATAATAATACATATGTTTGTGAGTGCTCAAACTTCGATCGTCAACAAAAATACATTATTGTAATATATCAGATAATAATCCGTAAACTCCGACACACAAAATATATTACGTCTAACCTTTATCAGATGTATGCTATCATTCAAAGTTCGGATTGGAAAAAACGTTTGCTTGTGTTTCAAAAGTTTTTTTTATTAATGCACTTTTAATTTAATTTGTTATATAAATAGCGGGAATCAAATCACTTCACACTTCGTTTTGTTATAAGCTTTTTTTATTATATTATATTATATTATATATTATATATTATATTATATTATATTATATTATATTTTTATTTACTCGAATAAATTAAAATATATTCCAAAAAAAATAATAAAAAAAAAACCGAACAGAAAACAATATTTAAAGGATAAGAACAAATATTTTAAGGAAAAAAATTTTAAGTCAGATTAAAACAAAAAAAAAAAAAAAACCACGACAAAACCAAAATAAAACAAAATCCAAGATTTTTATTTTTTATTTTTAGTTTTTAAAAAAAAATGACAACTTCAAATTTCTCTATCGAAGATTTGGCCAATTCTTTAATCGGAAGGCTTGACCGTCGAAGGATATTTCCTCCCTATTACAATAATCCGGAAGGTTTCGTATCACCAACAACTTCAATCACCAACAGTTCGTGTAGGCGACCAAGACGTCCACCAAATGCGTTTTTATTATGTAGAAAGAACGTACATCAAGAAGCCAAAAGACGAGGATCTTGCAATATGAGAGTTATTAGTAAAGTAACAGGAATTCTTTGGCGAAATGCATCCCTAGAAGAGAAGGAAGTTTACGAGAGACTGGTATTGTATTTATGTTTATGAATTTGCGTTTTCTTTACTGACGAAATATATAAAGTTAATTTTTCTAAAAAAAACAAAAAAAAAAAAACAAAAAAAAAAAATTAAATAAAAAAAATAATTTTTTTTTTTTTTTTTTATAGGCGGATGTTGTTAATGAAATTCATGTTCAACGTCATAATGTATTATATCGACAATATCAACAACAAGAAGTGCTCGGTGACGTTTTACCATTATCACAATCATCAACATCATGTATATCCACACCTTTAAGACCAATGGCTTACAAGCCCTATCAGATCCCTTCCCCTCCATTTTATAATGGTAATTTGGAAAGGTCTTGGCAAGCTCCTTCTTCACCGGCTAATTCGGCTAATTATAATACTTCCTATAAACCTGTTCAGGTCCCTTCTCCTCCTCTAACCAATCATCATTCTGATAACTCCGCACAATTGAACAATAATAATAATTTTGGCGGGTTGCAATCCTTTGATGATAACGCAATAAGTGAAATACCTGCTTTCCCACAAGACCAAAATCAATTATTAACTTATTATTTTGATCTTTTGACTCCTCAACAACAATAACTCTTAACAATTTATGATATTCTTATCCTTAAAGCATAGGAATTCATAGATTATATGTTATATATTTTATTGAAAATCTTTTTTTATTAACAAAAAGGTACATTTGTCTATATATGTTTTTATCTTTTGTATTTACTTGATGTAAAAAAATAAAGATGAATAAAAATGCATGTAAAAAAAAAACGGGTAAATAAATTGTAATACGTATCGTGCCAAATTTTTTTAATTGTACTATTCAACAATCGACTTTTTTTTTCAATGAATGAATAAATATATAGTTTAATATGTATAATAAATACTCGAATTAATTTTTTCGGAGTTTCCGGAGTTTGTTGGTTATAAATTGTTAATATAAGAATTAAGAAAACAATAGTCATGGTACATCATTTACTCATACATAGATCGAGGTCTAGATTAATTCATACAAATTTAGATACTAATCGATCGACCACCATGATTGGTTGGCCGAGAAATATACATATTTATCCTATAATATAGTAATATAGCGAATTCAGGAATTGTTAGATGATTATGGATGAAAATCTAATTCGCACTTATGATGGCTTTTTTTACACTACGCGAGTATTGTAATGTGAAAACACATAACTGATTATCCATAAGTACAATTAATACAATTACAGATTTTCACTTTTACAACACATATCAATCTCGAAAATTCATGATAAGTCAGGAATATCAATTTTTCTTTTTCTATCTACTTAGAAAGCTATCAGTACGTTATATATAGAAAAAATACCTACAAAAAGCTTACTTATGGAATTAATGAGAAAATAATCCGTTATTTGCCCTTTTTTGGGGATCGTACAGTTTTAAGTCGATTACTAATTGATTTTATAAATCAAAAATCATGTGATAAAATATAAAATATTATCACTTTTTTAACTTTTTTAGACGATCTCCCTTTTTTAGGTTCTCGTGATAGACTGTATTTGTATGCCTATAATGGAAAGTTTTCTTGTGTTACGTAGTTAAATTAAGGATCTTGTCATATCGATGTTAAATGGGTGCATAGTCTGTTTATTTTGATCTATTTCAGGAAAATATGTCCGGGAATGAGCTTTTTTGGTCCAAGACCATTATTTCCTTTGTTCTTAAATAATGCTATGATCTGCATACTGTATT